TATATAGTTAATTAATATATGTAATTATAGTATAGATTAAAAAAAGTTAAAGGATATAATATAAAAGTATTTAAAAAGTTTGAAGGGTTAAAATTGAAAAATAAAATAAATTTATTTTAATATATTTTATTATCTGAAGTAGTGGGAACATAGAAAAAGTAGGGTAAAAGAAATGGTAGGAAGCGGAGATAGAAACCTCAAAATTTAAGATTATAAATAAATTATATTTAAGTATAATTTATTAAGGTTTTATATTTGAATTTGTATAATAAATTGTAGATAAACATAATCAAATGGGAAAAGTTCAAAAAAACCCAACGGACTTTACTGTTTGGAACGATTAAGTTCTTGGACAATTTTTTGGAACAAATAAACCTTTGGACTTTACAAAACCTGTTAAATAAGTCCTTAGACTTTCTAAAATATGTTAAATACATTTTGTTAGTGAAAAAGATACGAAAAAACAATGAATTTTCATATTTTGAACGATCAAGTTCATAGATATTTTTTGAACGAAAAAAGTACTTACATTAAAAAAAACAAATATACCATTCTCATTACTATTCGTAAAATATACAAAAGTTGTATCCAAAGCATAATAATCTGCATACAAATTTTGGACATAATTTTACCAAAAAACTAATGAACTTTTATATTTTGAATGATTTAGTCCCTAAACATTTTTTAACCAAAAAAAATACTTCAATTTATAAAATGAAACAAATACCATTCTCATTACTCTTCTCAAAAGATACAAAAGCTGTACCCAAAGCATAAATAATTTGTATACAAAATTTGAGCATTTTACCAAAAGTTGAACCAAAATATATACCAAAAATCGCACCAAAAAATACAAACAATCGCCCCAAATATACCAAAAGTTGCGCCAAAAATACCAACTATTGTGCCAAAATATACCTTAGGTTGTGCTAAAATATACCAAAGTAACACCTAATCTATGTTAAAGTCGTGGGATGAACAATTCTTCATTTACATCATTAATTTCTGGTGGAGATACAACCATTTGACTTTTTTGTAACCCTTCTTGAGGTCTAAAACATCATCCCTTTCATAATGCTCTTCATCACCAATAGTAATATCACCTTCATCACAGTCTTCATCATTAACAGCAGACTCACTTGAAATTGAATACAACAATCTATAGAACATTCTGGAGTAGAGATCAATGCCAAGAAAGTGACTTCAAGATTTTTGAATTTCATAAGCATGAACTAAAACACCATAAACAATAACTTGACTTGGTGCCATACCAGCAATAAGGGCATTGTGTTGGTCAATCACAGTGCAGGATCAATACTCTGAATGTCTCTAGGGCGAAGACCTGCTATGAAAAACCTCATTTAAGAAGTGGCAATGCAGATAAAGTAACCCCGAAAATCTCAGCCCAGTTGTTATGAATGTATCAACAAAAAACCACAAGGATTAAAAAGGAAAAAAATACAATCAGGATGAGCATGAATGTATTTATGAAGGCAGCTGGAACATCAGGGATTTATGAGAAGTCACACGGGTTCGTCATAAAGTGCTACATTGAAACAGAAAGTGCAAGTAGCAGTTAAAACTTTATGCAGCAGAAAATTCAACAGAAGTTAGTGGTCAGGTTGAAGATCAAAGAGAAGAATTGGGGTTGTTTCTATATTGGCATGCTAAGAGTTCAAAATTCATGGTGGTTATCTTTAACTTGGGTTGGGGATTAATCTTAAACAAAAACGATACAATAAAAAGTTTGTGCAATACTCAATCAATTCCACCTGTTTTTATAATGTGGCATACAAGTAACACACCTATCAAGAAGGCAAATTTAACAGTTCATTTAACAGACTGTATTAGAAGGCAAAACACTTTTACCTTTCAGCTCATCTGTGACTGTACACAAATAACCTTGTTGATTAAGATATCAGTTAACATATTCACATAAGAAGATAAAAGTTCCTAAAAAGCTATGATGTTCCCATACTATGGAAAAGATGATCATATGTAAAATAAAAAATGATTCACCATCAGATAAAAGTTTGCATTAAAGCCATAAGTTATGTCCTGCTCATTGAGAGTTTCTCTCTTCTTTGAATAATCGAAGAGAAGAAAAAGTTGAAAGATTGGGCCAGTTGACGATGTTGAGAGACTCTAGAGTGAAATCGCAACAACTTTCAAAAACTTCAAATACACGTGTCACTAAAGCCAAAAACAGTAGAGTTTCAAGTAGACAACCTGACATCAAAAGGGAAAAACAAGAACTGCATTTGGAGACTTCAGGTTCATCACATGAGGCTGGAATGAAGAATTGGGAAGAAAATCCTACATAAGTTAGTGGTCAACTCGAAATCAAAGTGTTTATGTCAATGGAAACGCACCCTAAAAGATAAAATGAGAAGAAACTTTTGAAATCAAACTGAAAAATCAAAAAATTGTTGGAACCGAACCTGAGAAATCAAAAATTATGGGAACCGGATGTTGCGGTGGCGACGGACGCGGTGGTGGTGCGACAACGGCTGGTGGTGCGGCGACGATGGACGGTGGTGCGGCGGTGACCGGAGGTGTTGTGGTGAGGAATGGTGTAGGCCGGCGAAATTGAGTGAGGGAGAGGGGAGGATGGAAGCGACTATCTTTTGATAGTTTTAGGGTTTTTTTTTTATTATTTGTTTGGTTTACCTGCTAACCAGGTTACAAGTTATATTTTTAAAGAATGGTGACCTATTTAACAGGTTTAAGAAAGTTTAAGGATTTATTTAACAAATTTTCAAAAGTCCAATGACTTATTTGTTCCAAAAAATTGTCTAGGGACTTAATCAATCAAAACAATAAAGTTCATTGGTTTTTATTGGACTTTTCTCTAATCAAATACATGATAAATATCTCATTTTTAAATATAAAAAAAATTAAAATATAATTAGGATAATCATTGAGTTCTAACATAATACTCAATTATTATTTTTATAAAAAATATTATTAAACTAAAAATAAATTACTTTGCTATTAAACCTAAATTGAATTAAAAAAGTTATACAAAAAACAAGAACGTTTAAATAGTTAATTTGATACTAATATCGATATATATTTTTTCAAAATAAAAACAGTATAGTTTTCTCAAA